GTTAAATGAATGAATGATCCACGGCTTTTATTTAGCCAATAGCTTCAACCTTATCTTTTCCCTACCTCTCCTAAATTTTCTACTATAGGCGCAAATACTATAACCACCCCATTTGAATTTTCTCCTCCTGTCCTTGCCCAATTATAGATGTAGAACTAATGAAGAGACAAGCACTCTAAGAGCTACCAATAAGCTCTTAGAGGAGATGGAATAACTATCATTAACCAGCAGCATTGATGTTAGAAGTCATTTAGATACAGATATTCAATGTGATGTCAACAAGTCAGTTACTATGCTGAAAAAATGCTATTAATAGTCACTGTTTTCTCTGATCTGTTCATGTTTATATCATTTGGTTCATTTCAGACCTCAAGTCATAGAAAGATTTTCTGGGACAATTTTTCCAAAGAGAATCTCAAGATTCCAAGAAAATTTTAGCCTCTTGCCCTGATTATGAACTTAACATATAGATTTGTTCATGCACACTAAATGTCTGTGTACTTTTCAGAGTTATGCATATAATAATGACTCTGTTTGACTGTACAATTCAGATTTTGCATGTACAATTTTTACTCACTGCCAAGGAACTTTTCCAAATGTTTCTTTTAGTCTGTTGAAAATCCTTCCACCTGTTACTATTAGTTGAATGTGATGGCAAATATATACCGTTCTTTGCCTTCCATCCGACTCCTTCAGGGTCCTTACATGTGGGATTGACAGAATTAGAGACTGTTTTACAGTAGAGTTACAGCTGTTCCAGTTCTAAATAACAGCTATGACTAACCCCTTGGGGGAAGATTCCTAATAATTTTCCAAGTTTTCTACGTTAGTGATGGGTTTCATGCATACACACAGCTATTAAAGCATTAGAGTTTCTTTGATTTCTTAATGATTAACAACTTTAGTTCTGATTGCCCATGGAGTTGCAAGCTGTTAAAATTATCATTTGCCTCTTACTAATTTTGAAACCAAGAGCTATTTCTTCCTGAGATGCAGCACAGGACTTTCTCAGAGCATACACCACTCAGGAGCACTAAGGGCCTACTGTAAGAAAGCCTAACTGAAAATAACATACTTTTAAAATAAATGGGAGAAAGGAGAGCATGTTGAGTTGTTTAAAGAGTTCCCTTTTTTAAAGGATTCAACAAAGAATTTTTTCAGTTGAAAGTACCCCTGGTTTTTACAATTAAGTATTTAAATAGTAATTATTTTATGAAGAAGGTAGAAATGCAGGAAATCTGAAAATTCTAAGATGTCAGTTGAAATTCAACTAAAGAGAATGTAGGGTTATCATGTAAGTCAATAGAATATAAAAACGTGATGGAAAAATTTTATTCATACACAGCCTTTTCAAATCCATGTCCCTAACTGCTTTGTGTATAGTAAGTGCTCAGTAAATGCTTTTTACATTGGTTCGATATATGTTAAGATCAATTAATAGTATGATAAAATGAGTATGTTACTCTGAGCATTCATTCGTTCATCTAACATACATTCAGAGACATTGACTTACTTTCCAAATGTAAGTAATTGAAAAAAAAATTGATGAAATTTTATTAAAAATTACTTGTCTCTAATGTTAGGGATGTACTTCTACAGCAGTGGTCTGAAGGAATTTATATCAGGCCAAGAGGATTCTATGGACAAGTGTTGTGCAGGCTCCTTAAGAAACATCTTAGAACTTGTTAAAATAATCAATTTCTAAGCCCTATTCTCAAAGATTTTGTTAAGTAGATCTAGGGTGAGTCTAGCATTTGAAATTTTTCAAAAGCTACACAGATACTGACATACAATCAGTTTTCAAACCTAATACAGTGTAATATTTATAACTTTCTTCCAAGCAGAATCAGTTACCACAAATATTTGTTTAGCCTATTTGTAATATTCCTATTCTTGACTTTCTGATAAAACGCCATCCTTCTCTGGGAAGACCTAACCTTCTGAGGTGATGGCAGAGATAGGATGTTTTTCTTAGAGCAATAGGAAAATGAACATCTAGTTTTCCTCAGTCCAATATTTGTGATTTTTGAGGATTCCTTCTAAGTACCAATGCAGTGCCAGACAATACATTGTGCTACCACACGATTTAGTATTTAAAACATAGCAGGAAAAGCAAAAGTCAGCACCACCTGGAAGCTCTCTCCTATTTAGCTTTCATTAATACTGTTCTCGTATATGAGCCATATTCCTGCCCTTCATGATGTAATTCTTTACAGCACAAACCCCTCCCAAAGTTGTCCCCACACCTTTCTCTAAGGAGATACAACTTGAGGTTCTGGCCTATAAAAGTCCTGTTGACATGGCAACCAAGAATGGATACACAGAGTTCATCTTTGCCTAATCCATTTAATCCACTATTTACCTTTCTACCCTTAATTTTATGCATAGAATAAAACACTCACTTCTCAGTTCTATTTTCTTTACCTCTTTTAGATAATGCTTGGGTTAAAGTGCTGACCTGCCCCTTTTTTACAGAGTTTACAAACTAATTTTCTTTTTTCCCCTACAAACTAATACTGATGCATTTTCCATCTCCTGTGTAATATAGTGTCTCTATAATCAGTGCTCCTCACTCAATATCATTATTATTAAATCATACATTAATTATAATGTATTATGATTTTGAGTGCTTGTTGAAAATACAGTATTTCTTTCCCTTAAGAATGTCCACTGTCTAAACCTTTCTAAGGAAGCAGATAATTTTGCTTACAGCCTACAGGCTTGCTAAGCGCTGTGACTGTGTGCAGTAGGTTGTAACATAGCATCCACCCTCAGAAAACATATAGTCTGAGGAAAAAAAGTCATTTCCTTTTAGGTGAAATTCCACTTGTCCTTGATATTTGTTGTGTCCATTAAGTACCCATAGTGTACTAGATGCTGTGAAGGACAAAGGAAATTTGATAAAGCATAGCTTGGCAAAAATCTCATAATTACTTTCTAATCCTATATTAAAAATTAATATAATTGAATTCTATAGGAAATACTTCCATTTTCCCTTCTCCAGGGTACATAATTCAAATTCCTTTTACTACTTTTGTTTATTAACTCTATGAATGCCATACTTCATTAACTTAAGTGAAGGAGCATGGTTAAACAATTTTATTTTATTAGTGATATAAACTTTCATATCTGAAAAAGGGAGGCTTAAATCAACTGAAACCTTGGATGAGGAGAAGAAACTTTCCTACATATATTTACTAAGAATAAAATTATTCAGATTTCCTATGACAGAATGGTCAGTGATTCCCCGACACAAGAACTCAAAGTACTTGCCTCACAAGATTTTTTGCCTTGGTAAGATAATTTTTTAGGGAAAAAAGTGATAAAAATTCAAGTTCTCATAAACAGTGCTTCTAGAACATCACAACACTCACCCTTCTGCCATCCCTTGGTATGACCCAGTTGAAAAGTACTTTTCAGATGTTTTTTCCACTTAGGAAAAAAATACGTTTGAGTTCTTGTATGTCCTTAGAAAATAGCAACCACCATTTTGGTGATGTGGGGTCATCACTAAACTGATAACAAGGACGATATATGCTGTACCCTTTTTCTACCCTGTTCATTTCCTGACTTTATTTTTGCTTTTCATAGTATTTAGTGAGATACTGTCAAAAAAGAAATAAATGTAAATGTCGTTATGAGTGACTTTGCAATTTTTCTTTGAAGTTTCATTTCCCTAAGTTGTAATTAATAACATTCAAGATTGAATCATTCTTTAAGGCAACAGGAGCATTAATTTTTGCAATGTTACACCAGGTTCATTCATTCTACACCTGTTACTGGAATGCAGGCATTTTTAAGAATATTCTGTTCATGTATTAGGGACATTGTTATTCACAATAATTTATATTAACCATCCAGTTGCCTTATGATATTAATGTAAAAGTCAGGTGTCTGGATGGTGAGAATATTAGGGTGGTTTTGTTTATAAATATAGTTAGAAACTGGGTAAGAAAGAATGGAAGGTGAATGATAGTATCTCTAGGGCATAAATTTATTGTAGATTTTAATTTTTTCTTAGTTTTTTAAAATTTACCAAATGACGAAAATAAACCTTAAAAAATAAAAATCTTAGGGAAAAAAAATAGTTACTGCTTATTTCTTACTTTGTTTATCCTAGGAGGGTTGCCCAGGTTTTTGTTTATTTGTTTGTTTTTGTATATTTCTCTCCTAAGCAGGCTTTCCTTACTTATTGTCCATGCTGCTAAATATATTTTCTATTTCTTAGCAGTATGGAAAGTTCATGAGTAGGGATGACGAGGACCTAAAGATAAATACGTAACTATAGGTGACTTTGATTTTTTTTTTTTAATTTGGTAAACTTGATTTAAAGATTAATTCTTGCATGTATTTTGCTGCAAGCTGATCCTTAAGGTCTGTCTGTTTGCAGATGTGGAGAGGAGTCAAGGGAGATGAATGTGTTGAAATGCATGGGAGGTTTTAGGAGATATGAAAACAATATGGTAGAGTTTATAAGCTCATTCATATTTTAGAGATATTAAGTAATTGAAATCCATTCATCAACATTTCTCAGGCCCTGGCTCCTAGATTGTAATTCAGATTAAAATTCCAATATATTTAAAGTGTTTTTTCCCTTGATCCATTTACCATTAAAAGTTAGGTTCAAACCATGTTTAAAACTATGTTATGTTTAAAACCATGTATTAAAACCATGTTATGTTTAAAACCATGTATTAAAACCATAATCATGAACATCTTTGCCACTGGTGTCTAAATAAGTACCTCCTGATTCTTTCATTCTTAAGTAGATTTCTGAATTTTCAAAAATGGATCCTCTTTCTGTCCTATCCCACTTTTCATAATTGAGAAAATTTCTTCATTTTAGCTTTGTGATACTGTCAAGGAAAAGAATCTCACAACTAACATGGGACATTAAAGGAGATAAAATAAAATTGAATGCCTAGGGAGTTTTGTGTAGTACAAAAAAAGCAAGGAATAATTTGGGTTTTTTTGTGTTTTTTCCCATCTAATATTTTTAGGTACAAGCCTATGCAGAAAGTGGATGGGGTTGCAGATGGTTTCACAGGAAGTGGTCAACAGACAGGGACATCTGTTGAGCAAACTGTAATTGCCCAAAGTCAACATCATCAACAGTTTTTAGGTACGTTAAGGTGTAATGCCTATTAGTTGCTTTTAGGATTTTGAAAACAAAAGAACTAAACAGTGTTTTCTCCAAGTGCAGTTTCTGTTATAGCTGTTAATTACATAGACATTTTTGTGCTGAAACTATGCACATCCTAAGATATTTCTAGTTCATTTATATTTTCTCATGTTCACTGTAGCTTATTTTTAACTCTTGAGCTATGTAGGACTTTTAAATGTATATAAATTAAAGGCTCATGCTGTGAAATTGTTTTCCAGAATTTGTATTAATTGGGCTTTTGTGATCAAAATTATATTGTATTTACAATCAGTAGTAACTTAAGTGCCAAAAATGATTATTTTCTATATATGAAGTTACAGGTGCACACAACCTCAGAAAATTTAGAAAAAATTATTTTAAACTTTTAAAAAGTAATTTATTCTTTTAAGTTGATCACAGTACTTTCTACTTTTTAAAAAATTTTATAGATGATACACATGTTTCTTATTATTTAGAGTTAGGAAGTGGAGCTTGAACATTTTGCATATTCCTGTCATAGCCAAACATGCAAAAATGGCACTTTAATTTAATTGACAATCCTTCTGGAGGTGAACATGCATAGTTTCTGTACAACACATCAAACAAGTAGAAGCTGTCACAGAGAGAGTGTGTATGTATGTGTATGTGTATGTGTGTCTATGTGTGAGAAAGACAAGTAAAATGGACTCTTCAGTCAGAGAAGCTGAAAATATTATGGCAGCATTTCCCAAACTAAAGTCCTCAGGTATATTCTTGTGGATTTTGGGGTTCTCAAGATGAATATTTTTCATTACATGGTTTTATTTCAGTTATAATCTTTTAAAAAAGCGTATTCTGGATTATCTAGAAGACTAGAAGGAATATTGTCTTGCAACTTTAGTTTCTACATTTGTATTTGACTTTATGTTAAGGCAGGCACCAAAGTGTGGTGCATTAATTGTCCATATCTAATGAGAGAAGAACACTATTGTAAATCACGCCTATATGCCAAGAGAAGGGTAAATGATGTCCCAGTGCTCTGTGTGGAGGAAAGTTTCACAGCTTCTCTGAATATAGAAGAGTAATGGGAGGACCAGCCACCATAAAGTGTGGTATAGGCCTGTCAAACGCAGAAGATCCTGTGCCCCAGCAGTCAGTACCATATTCATGTTGCAAGAGGTAATTTACATATAGGGCAACAGCATCATCCATCGTATCAAATTAATGTTGTTAAGTTTAATGTTGGTTTTGTAGTTTTCTTTGTATTTATTTTGTAGCTTTGTGTTTATAATTATGTGAGAGGTATGAGCATAAAGAGTTTAAAAATAGATTTATTTTTTTACATAGTGAAATAGCATAATAGTAAAAGTAACCAAAATTGATACTGGCAGCTTGAGATATATTTTTCTTTTCCTTTTATATTTATTTATTTCATGGACTGTATTGGGGTGACATTGATTAATAAAATTATATAGATTCCAGGGGTACAACTCTATAATGTCATCTGTATGTTGCACCGTGTGTTCATCACCCAAAATCAAGTCTCCTTCCATCACCATTTATTCCCCCTTAGGGGCCCTATATTAAGGCTGACTGTGGTATGTTATTCCTAATACAGTCATAGTGAAAATGTAGTTTCTCCAAAATTTTTATGTCCCCTCTATTCTTTTGTGCTGATGATGTTGCCAAGTTTTACTTGGAAATACTAATATCCAAAATCCTTACTCTTTGGATCTATAACCTTTCATTGTTTTTTATTTTTAGTCTTCTTAAATTTTCCTTCATTAATCTGTAATTGGCACCACCACAAAGCTTTTTTCTGTTGTGTTGTCATGGTAACAGATGCATCTCGAGCACTTCCAGAGTTTGGAGAAGTTGAAATCTCTTCTCTGCCAGATGGTACTACCTTTGAGGACATCAAGTCACTGCAGAGTCTTTATCGAGAGCACTGTGAGGTAAGTCTTTTCAAACATAGTACAACTACATGCTAAGTTTTGCTAGACAACTTGCTAAAACAAAATATATTTATTCCTAGGGGACTTATGAAGGTAGTTGATATTTCTTTGAGCACTAATAAGTTAATTTTCCTTCTTGTCTCAGAGTAGAAAAGTAAGGAATACAGGGAAAGGAGAATAAATTTTACCATCCATTTTCTTAGCCTACCCTATATGAATCCCCTGATGCAGAAATTCCAGTTCTAGGTTTTTTCCTAGAAAAATATTTACACATGGGTAAAGAGGTAAGTGTACAAGGGAACTTACTGCATTATTGTTTTTAATGCAAAAGATTGGTTGTAACTTCAGTATCTAATAGGGAACTGAATAAATAAAATATGGTACAGTCTAAAAAGTGAAATATTATGCAACCATCGAAAGAACAGGCAACTCTAAATGTACTAATATTGGAACTAACTTAGAATTTATTTTTAAAGGAAAAAAGTAAGATGCAGAACAGTGTGTGTGTATCGCATACTGTCATTTGGATGAAAAATAGTATGTATATACATCTCTCTGGAAGAAAAAAACATGAAAATGTTAATGGTGGCTGCCTTTGTAAAGGAAACTGCTGACTGAAAGAAAGTCAGGAAAGAGCCCTAATTTCTTAACCCACCCTTTGTACCTTTTGAATTTTACACCATCAGTGTGTATTCCTATCAAAAATATTTTATAGAAATGTTTAATAAGTACTTCAGGTGTTCCTTTCAGGGACCAATGAGGCTTCAATTTTGTTTATTTTTGTGCTAATTAAGGTTTCTCTTGGTATTTTCCATCCCTACCTCCTACCCACTTTCTGAGTATCCCACATCAGAATTGGCTACATGGTCTCCAGGAGGTGAACTCCCTCCAAGCCAGCATGTTAAGACACCTGTAGCTCACTTGGTACTGAGGGGATGATGGATTGCAGTAAGAGTTTTCATAAGTGCCTTTCCTTTTGAAAAAGGAGTCTGTTTAGAATTTTAGTAGCTTTATTTCAGGGCTATGTGTGATCTACTTAGAAGTAAAAGATAATCCTTTGGATTTCATGGGTCAGCCCTCCTGACTGCTGACAATGCAGTGTACAATGAGAAATCTTAGCTCACAGCATTCACAGACTTCTCCCCACTCCAGAAATAAGAACTGCTTGAATAAGTCTGAGTGCTTGTCAAGGGTGCTAGATTATTAACAACCAAGGGCAAGCTCTCTCTTTATTAACAAACCATGTGCTGGAGTGTTCAACATATCCTGCCCCTCTGTTTCCAACATTTCGAGTGATCAGATACTTAATATCCATTCCTCTTTGACAACTGTACTTTTCCAAATATTAGTAAATTTCTGGATTATACTTAAATACATCTAGAAAAAATTTATTTCTTTCTGGATAAATATCATGTATATAGGTATTCAGTGAAGATTTATAGAAAGGTTATCTAAGCAATTTCTTATTTCTCTGTGTTCCCTGAAACTTGCTTTAAGCAAACCAGTCTACACAAATATAATTTGGATATTTTTAAGTTTCTTACACTTACTCAAAGTATAAGTTGGAGCATGATTATTACATTACTAAAGAATGTATGGTAAGATTATTGTAAGTGAAAAACTCCTCCAAGAAAATTTGGATTACAAATTTTCATTAACATTCCCATTTTCAGGATTGCTCTATATGGAGAGAGATAGGCATGTAAGACAATTAATCTTTGTGCAAAATGACAGTCAATAGAATGAGCCCCATTTATTTCAGAATTAACCAGGTTCCATGCCATCCCTTATGGGGCATAGAAGCAAATATGAAAACCAAGAATTTTTTTTCTGTGAAACTTCGAAACTTTTAAAGTACAGGTATGAGTCTCAAATCCAGTCCTGTAAATAGTCATTTGCTCTAAGGCCATAGACTATGGATTATTGAAATATATGTTTATATTTTAAATATGAACATCCTTGAAAGTGGGTGAATGGACAAATGATAAATGTTTTATTCGTGTGTAAAACTGCCTCAAGAGACTGTTGTGAAGAATGTCCTTTTTGACAGAATTAGAGCTTATTTAATTTGAAGAGTTACTAAATTTAAGATGCACTGAATTACTTTATTTGATATCATGTTTCCAATGGTTCATGGGCTTTTTAAAATCTTTATTTATTGGTTTTACTGAGGGTGGTTGGGGGGGTGGAGAGAGAAAGAGAGAGAGAGAAAAAAAAACATTTGTTATTTTTATTTATGCATTCACTGGTTGATTCTTGTACGTGCCCTGACTGGAGGTCAAACCCGCAACCTTGGCGTATCAGGGCAACACTCTAACCAACTGAGCTGCCCAGCTAGGACTCCTACGGTTTATATTTTAAAGAAAGATTAATATATCTGTTTTGCCTGTTGTTTGAAATTTTCACAATTTTTTTATCAAAGATATTTTGTAACTATCACTAGTTTTAAGTTAGAAACAAGTAACATAGACATAGTATTCTTACAGCAGTCTCATAGATAGAAATATGTAAGGTATTATATAAAATATTAATAGTTACTTCATAGTGGATGTCTCTTGGAATGTGCCTAAGCCACACTTGAGAAAGCAGCTATAATGATTTGCCTCTTGAGAAGGTTTTAGTATTTGCCTGGGAGGAACGACATCTATATGCTCTGCCCTTGCATTTTTATCGTTGCTGACATGAAAGATTGAAGAGTATGTTAATTAATTTGCCCCCTTCCCTTCATTTTCATTACTATCTACTTGCAACTTTTCCTACTAGTTCCCAGAATATGTCTCAAAGAGATTTTGCCTACTATTTGAATTTTTCTCAGACTTTTTTGTGTATGTTCTCAGTATTCTCTGCACAATGCATAAGGCCAGTCTACTTTGGCAGCACAGACTCCGGAATTATGATGTTATATTTTCCCTAAAATCCTAATATTGACTCTCTCGATTGCCTCTGTTGTCTCTTAGCTTCTGTGAATTTTGTAGGTTTTGACAGGGCTGCTTTGTCTGTCCCTGTGCTAAGTGCAGAGGATATCAAATATATTATACTGACCACTTCTGCCTTTTATGCTCGAAATAATCACAGAATCACATGTTCCTTGCACGAACAAGTTATTCTTTGGTTTTATGACTGCTTTTATCTAAAGGCAAATTTACAAACTAATTGCAAGGGCAGAGCAAAACTATATATGATCATCAAAAGTTAATGAAAGTGGCAAATTTTAGCATCCTCAAAAATAAGTCCTTGATGCAGCTGGATAATGGTTCTAAGAGGAGAAAGTGAACATCCCAGACCCAAAATTAGAAGGGGGGATATTCTTAAAACTGCTCTCTAAAGAGGATGTGCAGAGATAGGACTGAGTGGGAGGCATTCTGTGACCAAAGAAAGGTACTTGCTGTGCTCTTTTTCTGCCCAGACAGGTGCCTGACTCTAGTTTCTGATCCAGCCTCTCTGGAACCCGTGGTCAGCAGCCTTAGACAGAGCTAATTTAGTCCTAGCTCTGTCTGCCACACACAGGCACCTCCACACCCTTCACTTCTGGCCCCTTCGATGTCCAGTGGACACACCTGGCCCAATGAGGACTGATGTGAATTGAATCTATGTTCTGTGCCCTGGGGTCTGAGAATAGGAAGAGTGGCAGCAATCCTGGAGGCAGAGGAAAGCAGTGGATAAAAGCATGGAAGAAAAGTAAGAGAAAAGAATGGAGAGGAAAGGAAGCAAGCTTGATAGTAGGTGGGGAAAGAGGTGAAAGTGAGGGTGAGTTATATGAGGCCATTATGGGAGGGATACGAGTCATCCTACCTAATCTTTCAAGAGTTGTTTTTACCTTTCTCTCCTAGCTAATCTCTCTTGTTTTCCTGCTTCTGTTGGCCCAATTTAGTCCAATTTTACTGCATTAACTTATGAACCCAAAGGTATCTTTACCAAGTCCCATTACATTATGCACTCCTCACACCTCCACATAAGAAATACCAATATTGTTATACTGGTATAACTGTTTTGTCTTTTAGGCAATATTGGACGTTGTTGTGAATCTTCAGTTTAGCCTGATAGAGAAATTGTGGCAAACGTTCTGGCGCTATTCTCCCTCTACTCCAGCAGACGGCACTACCATTACTGAATCAAGGTCAGAATCAATATGCTTTTTCAGTTCATTTTCATGGCTGAGTAGATGTCACAGCTAATAAATTAGAGATATGTATACCAGTTGTGAACCCTACCTGATAACATTAAATGAATAGATTGAAATAAACCACAAACTGCTCTCTTGAGGTTTCAGTGTGTATATTATAGCTCCCATTTTATTGAATTGGGGGACCGCGGTAGAGCTATTTCATCCTCATGGAATTAGCATCCTATCTGCCTTTCATACTGTCAGAGAGTATTAACGTGCATAGGCAGCTCTGGGGGAGTGTTATGTATATCCAGCCGTATGGCACCAGTGCAATGGTGGTATAGTTCTAACCTCAGTGATATTTGATAAACTAAAACTATTTTTAAAGTCCATTTTCTTTTTTATCCTCATTTGCCATCTATTCATTTGCTACATTTATTCACACCAGCAATCTGAGTGAAATAGAAAGTCGACTTCCGAAAGCAAAGCTGATAACTCTGTGCAAACATGAGTCTATCCTGAAATGGATGTGTAACTGTGACCATGGGATGTACCAGGCTTTGGTGGAGATTCTCATCCCCGACGTCCTTAGACCTATTCCTAGTAAGTTAAATGCAGACAAGTACGGATGCTTTTGTTCTCATACATTCCACCTAGGAAGTTTGGGGAAGTGACGTTGCAATCTAGAGTGATTCTAATCTCATTTAGGTTTGCCACGTAGGAAATAATGCAACACAGAGTATTGCCTGAAAGCAGCCTAGAACAGAACTGTAGTAAAAGGGGAACAAATGATCTGTTTTTCCATCTTTAGTAGTTTTCTTTTTGAAATAAAAGCTAACCTATGGATGTGACAGCAGGAGCCCTCCCAGGCCAGTCAGTCAATCATGTAAAAATTATTCTATACAACGATGTAGTTTCCTTTGTAAAGGCAATTTTTTTTTGAAATCTGTAGTTGCTAGGCCAGCCACTTTCATGGTTGCTTTTTATTTGAAATGAATTTATCTTAGTTTCTACTGAAGTTGAATTCTTTTATATTGTAAAAGCACATACTTTGTCACCTACAACATGTTAAGAATTACAAATGCAGTTTCCGTTTATTAACAGTAAGGGTTAACTGGCATTTTGAGAGAGACAATCTAGGTAACTACACAAGCATTGCATTTCCACCACAAGGCAAATAGGAATTACAGAGATAACTTATTTCTTTTTTAAGTTATGGTTGCTTTTTACACAAAGCAAACACAACTATTTTCTGCAAGTGTCAATATTAATGCTACTATGGATGCTTGTGTTAGAGCATTTGGAATGATTTCATGCTTACATCTTTATGAGCACATACTAGTGACCTTCACTTTTAAAAACTGGGGACAGAATTTCCTCTCTAAAGTGATATCAATAAGGTAAAAGCAGTCCTTTAGCTTGTGAAATCGGTGACCATGTACTTCAAGTACGCCATTCACAGGTGATCAGACAATATTTAAATAGGGATTTAGTATAACAAATAGTGAAGAAACTCACACTTTTATGTTTATGCTTTTTTTCTAAATATGATAGATAACAGTGGAAGATGTGTTATTTCTTAATGTTCCTCACCTCTTTAAAATATATGCTTAAACACGCATTTACATATAATATCAATGAACACACATAAACTTGTATAGAAATTTGTTTTAAAAAGTTCAGCTGCCATTGTCTCACATTTTTATCAATTGCTAATGTTTTCTACTATATCTACACCATGTTCCCAAGGATTGATTAAAAGCGATGTTGTCATGAGAACTTCAATGTGTAAATAAATCCTCTACTGACTTATGTTTCAGAATCTGGTTTTTCCTGTTTTCATCGTGCTCCCTGTGCTCTGAGTTATCATCTCTAGAGATGTTTGAGAGAAGCTGCATAGGGGAGCTCATTAGCCTATGACATCTTCCCACCAATTTCTCTCCCGAGATATAAGAAGAGATGGCAGTGAGCACTTTCTGTACTGAGACAATTCAACAACATCAATATTCATTAAATAACTCTAAGATCTTAAGCTTCCATGTTAGCTTCAAAAGACTGTAACTTCTAAATTCAAGTTTTCTAACTTAAATCATGTATCAATTAATTAACTCTAAGCCCCACAATTTAAGTACAGTGCATTTGACATTTGATTTTTTGTAAATTGTGATTGAAGAATCAGTTTATTTGGTCAAATACTTTGTCTCAACATTCAGCAGACAACTCAACTTCAGGAATTTTTAAATAAGTGTAGTTTTATAGTTTCTCTGAAATTACAAGACTCATTAATACACCAAGTAAATTTGGAGATTTAATGCCCGCTCTACAAAAAGACTTAAGAAAATGAAGCATAAAATACAGTTTAGATAACAAACTTTGTATTGTATACATTTTAATATTAATCATGAGCAGGTTGAAACAAGTTAGCTTTGCAGTAGATTTTAAATTTCAAACATCCATTCATGAGAAAAGTTTTCAAAGTTAATGTGCACAATTTGATCTGACGTGAACCCATAGAGAGAGCAAAAATAAATTTATTTTAAAAATTGTTATTTTGTGGCTACTAGTTCTTCACTTTATCATTTACTGTCCAGATGGGATTCCTTTTTTTAGCCAAAAAAATGTCTGCATCTCACACTAATTTAAAGTCAGCTTGAAGCTACTATATTCTAAAATACATTTATCTGAAAATGAAAAAAAAGTTAAGTGCAAAGAATTGTATAAGAACTCAACTGGTAACACTTAAATGTACAATTATGAGGTATAGTTAAGGGTTTAAAGGTGGCCCAAAATTTCATTTAGTACAAAAAAGTAAAATTTTAAAATCATTAGATATATAAAACATATCTTTATTTTATGATCTCTCTAGCATCAAATTTGTCTAGATAACACAAGACTCATTAATTTTTTTAGGTAACTTTTCCTAGTTCTTGGTTTTTTAGGTTAATTATTATGTGTTAATTATAGAAAATGAAAAATACAGATAGTCAAATTGAATCTTGCAAAAAATTTTTCTGAGTTTCAAGAAGCGTCGTTAATTTTTTTTCACTCTTTTTCATTTCCATTCATGCCTGCCCTCCATGATTCTAGTACATAATGCAGCAGAAAAATATTTTTTCTTTTTTTTTTTCTTTTTTGGCTAAAGTAGGAAGCTTTGGAAATTTCAAAAGATTAGTTCTCAAGAAATTTCCAACTCAGTGTTTCTAATAGATGATTCTCATGGTTAATAGTCTGCACTTCTCAAGTGTTTTTCCTAATCAAAATTTAGCCATTTCAATTTCTCTATTGTCATTTGACCAGTTAAATAAGTCATTGCTTAAAAACTAGTTGTTTGTATTATTGGATTAGTAATATTTTTATCATTTGCAAGTAACCCAAGTAAACTAAATTGTCTAATTCTGCTTTAACAAAAGTAATAGAGAAGCATGTCAAATTTATTTGAGCACAGAAAGGAAAACCAAGAAATTTAATCCCATCATTAATATTCTTGGGAGCCTTGGACAAAAATGTAACTCCTGTGTTTTTTGTAGTAGAGTATGAATTGTAATACCTACCCTTATTATAGGGAACCCATGAAGATTTATTTTGTGAATGCCTTAAATATTTATTAAGTATCTAAAACTGCTCCCTACACTTTGGGCACAGACGAAGTAAAATACTGTTGACCAAATTACTTGTTGAACAGGAGAATTCTGTCTTCTACTTTACAGCAATCTCAGTAAACAGTCCCCTTCTTATAAAATAGTCAGTCATCCCTGATAACTGAAGGTGCTTCTAATCATTTTATGACCACCATAGAAAGCTACTCCCATGGAACCTATCCCTATTTCAGGTTTTTTAACAGATACGTAAAGAATATGGAATGTACTATTTTAGGAATATCTTAAGAATATTGGTCTCTGTGACAGCAGTTTTATCACACTGATCTTTTATCTCTGCCTGCCAAGTGAAATGGAAAATAGTTATCCAAAATTTCAAGTTAGGCAATTTTAATCGTTACCTTACTTTTCAGTAAGAGTGAGACATAACTGCTCTAACTGATATGTTCTGATGTAAATAGAAACTTAGAGACAGAGAGGAAGGTTTGCATTATCCTCTTTTTAACTAAAAAAAAAAGGAAATAGGTTAAGAACTTGAAAAATCAAGATGAAGAACTTTCAAGGAAAATAGCCTGTGAGCACAGAGCTATAAATGAAAAGTATTTTGTCTAAGATAGAAAATTCCATAAGTATATTCACAACTGGTATATGTTGCTATAAGCAAAAGTGTTTGAATATTTTCATCTCCCAACCAAGTATAATAAGTATCTGGGAGCAAAATAGCTTTAAAAGGAAAAAAATCCCAAAATGTAATTCTTGAATGCTTTCAAGATTAGGAATTATGTTAAATAAAGTCTCATCAGTGAGGACAATGTAAATTCTGTGCTATTTCAGGTGCCATATATGCATGTTTTTCCTTATTCTAGCATAAAGATTAATGTTCTTTGGTATCTTTTTCGTTCTACTTTTATTCTTTAACATTTAGGTGCCTTGACCCAAGCCATTCGAAATTTTGCAAAAAGCCTTGAAGGTTGGCTTTCCAATGCCATGAACAATATTCCACAGAGAATGATACAAACCAAGGTACACTTTTATATATTTGCTTTTTCTTTTGTGTTTAGGAAATTATTCTGGACTATGAATTTTATGTGTCCTATGAAATGGCATTATTTAAAATGTTGATAATATAATATATACAATTTTTAAAACTGATTTCATATTTATATTTTATAACCATGTAATAAAGAACTTACACAAGAGATGTTTGATAATACACCTTTCGAAAAGACTAGAAAGGCATTTTAAATGTGGTGTATTTACACACCTTTTTCTAAAGTATATGTTTCAGATTGCTTAATTTCAGATATTAAAAAGAATAGAGTGTTGCAATACTTCCTTTGTAATGAATTTTAAATTTTTATAGTCCTTTACTCTGGTCATTGTGCTGTGAAGTTCATGTAAATTAATATTCTTTCACTTTCAGGATGTTTCTTTTTTCATTTTTTCTTTTTTAATACTGAAGATTGCTTTTGTGAATCAAGTAATCATTTCTTTTTAAAAAAGATTTTATTTATATGTTTTCAGAGAGCTGGAAAGGGAGGGGGAGAGAGAGAGAGAGAGGGAAACATCAATGTGCGAAAGATAGGTCAGTCAATTGCCTCTTGCATGTCCCCAACAGGGTGGGGCCTGGCCCGCAACCCAGGCACGTGCCCTGACTGGGAATCGAACCAGCGACCTTTTAGTCATAGGCCAGCACTTAATCCACTGAGCCACACCAGCTGGGGCTCAAGTAATCATTCCTTAAATTGAACTATTATCTCATAATTAATCAATTAATATGAGGAAGGTAGACTGTTTAGCTAGAGATATGAATTCTAGTCTCCGTTTCATCCCCTACTAATCATGCCACTTTAGGTTTATCTGTAAACATGCCCCATGACAGGATTGAACTAATTTAGCCTAAACTTTTATACCAAAAGTTACATTTATAGATTTTTGTCAATGACTCTATCTACCCTTGGACTCCAACAATATACATTATCTTTGAATTTGGGGATAGAGCTGATAGATTGTAGCTGATGAGTCTGTTTGGGAACACAAGTAGTTCTCAGTTCTTTCTGCTTTGACTAAAGTTTTGTGGTAGCACTATTTCTAAACATACAGAGAAAACATTTCATTGATATTCCAGCTTATATTTTATATTTTTGCTTTAGAACTGTGCTGTCAATACAGTAGGAATAGACACATGAAGTTATTTAAATTTGAATTTTAAATTTAAATTGATTTAAGATTTAGTTCCTCAGTCATGCTAACTACATTTCAAGTGCTCCACAGCACCATGTGGATAGTGGGTACAACATTTGGCAACACCGTGTATTACATTTCTGTCATTATAAAAAGTTCCTCATGGCAGTGCTATTCTACAGTGCCACATGGAGGCGGGCAAATAAAGGAGGTGCTATTTGATTGTGATAGCCAGGGGAATGCCTTCCAACTTGGCAAATTCAGTCATATTCATATCAGTACATCAAACAGTTGAAAGCAACTCCCTTCCCTTGTAATCAAAGTGGATGTAGTAGTAATCCAGCTACAATATTGGCCATCTCATTGATCTCCAGATTTGATTTGATTAACCTTGGTGGACGGTACCTTCTGCTAGTCCTCTCTTACTGACATGCAGCATTTGTTCAGCTGAATACTCAATTAATGAAGATAGTCTACCCTGACAGAGGAAACAGAATAATGAGATTATGACCTGCCATTGTTCTCATAATACCCAGGTTCATATCCCATTACTGTAATATAGTCTCTGTGTAACCTTGAGGAAGCTACTTAACCTCTTTAAGTCATACTATGCGTCTAGTAGGATGGTTATGAAAATTAAACAAGTAATGTATATGAGGCACTTAACATAGTGCCTAGTACATAGTATGTACTTGATTAATATAAACCACATAAATGGGAAAAAAGTGTAAGACTCTATTTTGAGGGTATATGAAGTTCCCCCAAGATCCACAGAGTCTTAAAACATTTCACTATCTAAGTAGAGCATCCTTTGACCGGCGAACACGTTCTACCACTCAACTATCTGATTATTCAGTCAACTGCTTCTTCTCTACCAAGAATGATTTAATACCATGCCATAGGTGCCTACAGATATATAAATGCTCATTAGATCTTCGGTGCATGTACAGGTTTCCAAAAGATCATGAGATTTAGATATTTACCTAGACTTTTTTTCAGCATTATTTTTTATATCTTTCACTGTAAACTTGTTCATCCAGGGTTGCAGCAGGAAACAGATGGTATATCCAAAGGCGAAAATAATTGAAGAGTGTTTAAGAAGGTTTTATTTCCAAAGGCGTAAACAGAGTTAAGAAAAGGGATGGTAAAATACCTCAGGACTAGCAATAGTGAGAAATCCTAGGTCTGAAGGGGAAGGAGGTAAAAGTCATGACATTAAGAGATCCTTTTCTTGCTGCAGGGCTGTGGTCTTAGAAACAGAAAGGAGACTGCCCAAACAAGGAGAAAACAGACGTTGTAGGGGAATAAATACTTGACCAGTCTTTATTCCCATCTTTCAGTCTTTTGCCAGTGCCTGTCATTGGAAGCCAACTGGAAGTTAGAGTACATAAGGAAGGTGTTCACTGTAGCATTGTACATTCAGGCCATCTTCCTGGTGCAGAGAAGAATAGAGAAGGATGGAAAGTAGTTTTTGAAAAGCAAATGAAGATTTCCTGACTAGCCCTTTTGTAGAAATTAACATTCTGAAAAAGAGTTCTTCTTGTTGTTTGTATCTGATATGCTTATTAGCTATACATATATTGCTAAAAAGGCTATCAACACTTTGTTCACCTCAAAGTTACCCAGGTTTCTATAAAATAAAGGTACTGGGTGAATCTGAATGATAGTGCTTTGAAAAGTGTATATTTTTATCCATTTAAAAAAGTGGGACTGTATAGTTTCATTTTCCAAGTAAAAAGAAAAAAAATTATTTGCTAAGTTTGTAGTTGACTGTCCTACAGAGAGTAGAAAAAAAAAGGAAAATCGACATTTTTCCTGCTTCCCTTGAGAAAGTAATTTCTTACTGTAGATGAGTAGTTACTTGTAAAACTGGTTTAATTAATGCTGCATTCAGACGTTGAAGAATGTGGGAGTTTGTTTTAGTCTTGACCTCAACCCACTTAAAAGAAAAATAATACTTCGTTTAGAGAGTTAAATGACATAATTTACAAGTGAGCTCTCTCACCAAATGAATTTGCAATAAGTATCAGAGGGAAGCATTTAAAATTTGGCAAGGGAATAAAGATTTGAACATTTGCAGTGGTTTCTTTTACTGGGGAGGAAAAAAAATCCCAATTTAATTGGATTTCTTTACAGGTTGCTGCTGTAAGTGCCTTTGCCCAGACTCTGCGAAGATACACGTCGCTCAATCACCTGGCCCAGGCAGCTCGTGCAGTGCTTCAGAACACTTCTCAGATTAACCAGATGCTCAATGACCTCAACCGTGTTGACTTTGCCAATGTCCAGGTACTCTCTTTTCTTTCAAAACATGTCTTTGAAGGGAAGACCCTTAATTTTTTCTTCTTAGTTAGAATCATATTTCTTTGCAAAGTTTCGTCAGTGCACAGGGAACGTCTCTATTCACAACGTCCTGAAAAAGGAGTTTAACTCAGCTATGACTTCACTGCTCCTCTTTTTTGTGGTTAAAATCTGCTAAGGTTTATATTACTAGAAGAAAACACATGTTATCAGGGTTTGCTGAATAGTTAATGGACTAAGGACGATCACAGTCATTGAAGTTAAATAAGCAGGGGGCTAAATTCTTTCATCTCCTAGCTGTGGGATCTTGGGCGAGTTAACTGTTCTGGCCTTTACTTTTCCCACTTTATAACACCTATCTTACTGTTTATATGTTTAGTAATACACAAAGCCCTTTGCATTGTAACACACAAGAAGTATGCTTAATAATGCCTCATCTAGAAAAAACTAAGAACAACTCTATTTTTGAGTTTCCTATAGGTGCCTGGTGAGTATTTGTTCATTTGAAAAGAACTAAGTTCAATATGTTTGCCTATTTTGATCATCAAAATGAAAAAAATATATTTTAAACTTGCAATCAGACTACTTGTACTTTAAAGCACACTTAAAAAGAGCTAATTTAGGAATATTATTATAGTATCCCAACTAATAGTTCATTTTATATACTAATGTAATAAAGCTAATTGTTAGCATATATAAACAGTGCCATTGCTCACTAAAAATACAAATAATAATAAAAGAAAAATACATAAACTAAACATAAAAGTTAAAAACTTTTGTGCTTCAAATGAGACCATCAAGAAAATGAAATGGCAACTTAAAGAATTGAGAATATTTTTATAAATCATATATCTGATAAAAAAAATTGTATCTAGAATCAAATAAAGAACTATTTAAACCCAATAATAAAAAGGCAACCTAGTTAAAAATGGCCAAATATTTGAATAGACATTCCTCCAAAAAAGATATGCAAATGATCAATAAGCATGTGAAAAGGTACTCAACATAATTATTTACCAGGGAAATGAAAATCAAAACCACTGTGAGATACTACCTCACATAAACTAAAATGAGTATAATCAAAAAGACAGCTAATAACAAGTGTTGGTGAGGATGTGGAGAAATTAGAACCCTCATACACCACTGATTGGAAGATAAAATACTGTAGCCACTTTTGAAAACAGCTAAACAGAGTTACTATATGATTCACCAGTTTCATTCCTATAACAAAAGATAATAAAACATGTCTCCATAAAAACTTGTACCTAAATGTTCATAACATCATTATTTATATTAACTATATAACAGTAGAAACAACCCAAAGGTCCATTAACTGAACAATGTGTAAAAAAAATATGGTATGTTCACATATGGAATATTACTGGGCCATTAGATAAAGTGAAGTTCTGATACCTGCTACAGCATGGATGAACCTTAAAAACATCATGCTAAATGAAAGAAGCCAGACACAAAGGACCACATTATTGTATGGTTCCATCTATATGAAATGTGCAAAATAGGTAAGTTCATAGAGATACAAAGTAGATTAGTGGTTGCCTAGATCCTGGTGACTAGAGCAGAATGTGGCAGGTAAATGATATGGGGTTTCATTGGGAGGAAATGAAATCATTCTAAAATTGATTGTGGTAATGGATGCATAACTGTGCATATGCTAAAAGCTGTTGAACTATGAAATGAGTGACATTGTGTGATATGTTAATTGTATCTCAATGAAACTATTTAAAATAACATTGCTTAAAAACAAACTATTAATTACTCAATTTCTGAGATTATAATACGCACGTTCTGGCCTAGTTTTATCATTTCAGATATATCAAAAAGTAATATTTGGGCTTGATTCATTTTAGGATATAGTTGGTTGTTCTTCCTGACTTTAATGGACTGAGCTCAAATTTATAATGTACATGAAGTTTCTTAAAAATTTATCTTTCTATATATTTATCAATTTCTTTATATACCTACGTGCATGCAAATGCATAACCTTTACAAGACCAAACTGGTTTTGTCTATTTGGTTTAAAAAGCCATTAGCTTTATATATTTTAATAGAATTTACATTAACTAATTCTAGTGAGAATATCAAAAGTTTATCTTACCTTAAAATTTATACTGTAATGTTTATTTCAAGTCTTCATTTAGGAAAGATAACATTTAAAAGTACTTTAAAAATAGTTGAAGTAGTGAGGCAACTTCTAGTTTCCAAAGTAATGCTCTCAATCACAGAAAATAAATTAATGATTCCCAATAATAGCTGACATTTAGAATTTTCTGTTAACATTATTTTTGTGTATTTGTATATCTGCAACCCTATGAAACATTTACAGAAATGAATTTTTCCAGGTTATAAACACCAACCTTGGCAGCATCTTTTCACATAAATGATCAATTATGTGTCTACTCCAGTACTCACTCTCCACACATCAACTTTGAGGGTCCATTTTCTCTTTCTCTGTTCTCAACTGCCACATTTTTCTGGGTCCACATGACATGATTAAACATCTATCCTCCAAATCTTCTTGCCTTTCCTTAGAAGACCATGACACAATGTTGTACCCTTTCTTTCCTCCAACATTTTACTTCTCACTTCACTTTTCATTTTAATGAGTAATCTCTTTCTTAGTATAGTATATTCCACCTTTTACTCCCTTCATTCTTTTCCTTTTCTGTTCCCGCTCTTGCCTGATTTTCTCAAGAGTCCTCTGGTTTTCTCAGTCTACTGCCTAGTGTTCCACCTTTATCACCCTCTTCATTTATTGCCTATTCATTTGAAAGTTGCCCCTGCCCCTACAAGATAAACTCAGTAAGACTGACTCATATAAAGGTGATGTGGTTTTAATGAGGAAATTTTAATTTAAAACAGTGGAATTACATGTAAGGATCAATATTATCACACTCTAGAAGCCTGAACATACTAAAAAGTTTCTTTCTGGATATCCACATATCTTTCACCACTTCATTCTTCTCTAACTGTATTTTCTTTTCCTCATGCATTCATGATAATTTTTCTGTCGCAGTATAATTGGTGTTTTGGTTCTTTTTAATCGCTAGCATTACAGTGGTATTATTTTCTAATTTTTTTGTGTGTGAATGGATAGTTTTTCATCTACATAATGGACAAAAATGAGTTTTGATGGGTTTACCCAATGACCTGACTGTTACATGCCTAACTATTACATGTACTTGTATTTCTGTATTTTAAAAAAAAATTCTGATTTTAAAGCTACTGATTCTATCATCTTGAATATAATTTATTTGTAAGTCAGGAACATCTTTAATGTTCAACTTTAGGTTTTTCCATTATAGAATTAAAATATCCACATTCCTTTTACCAGCGAGTATTTACATTGTACTCTACTGTCAGTATATTTTCAGTAGTCAGAATAGCAAAATGAAGTATAATGTAAAGTAGTTTGAAAAGCCAAAATAATGTCCTGTGGCTTTATTTCTCTAAATTTGGCTTTAGATTATCATATTTTTTGGCAAAAGCTAATTTGTAAGGAAATAGTGAGTTTGAATTTATAGTAAGAAATGAAATTAGATTCTTCGAGGGTAGCAGTAAGTTCCTCCTCTCAATTATCCATGCACAAACAAACAAAAACAATGTCCCCTATAATGGATATAAAGTTTCATATTTGCAAAGTGAAAAAATTTTGGAGATGTATTGCACAATAAGGACATATATTTAATACTCCTATATTGTACACTTAAAAATGTTAAAATGATGTTTTATGAGGTTTTTTTTTTTTACCACAATAAAAAAATGGTTAGATGAGGGAGGCTCTGTCCTGCAGTCTCCCTGGTCGCCGCGGATAAAGAAACTGTATCAGACAAAATTTGCCTGTCAGGAGAGGAGGGTGGTGATTCCCTGTAGTGGAGAATGTCCAGAGCCCTGCTCTTGAAGTGACTTTTATTGAGAACAATATGCGTAGGGTATACAGCATACATGCAAAGCCTATCGATCTACATCAAAAAAGCTATAAATAGATAAATTAAATCAATAAATTGAAGACATACAGAGGTTTGTCCGAAATCAAAGTGTGTCAGACGAGTTGGGACCAGGTGCTCATTAAGACAGTTTTTGGGGCTCAGGAATTATCTCCTTGTTGTGAGGTAAAACACCTGGTTTTTCCTAACCAGGGCAGTGCAAAGCAGAGCAAGCTTCAGTAACTATACTGTATTTTTTTAGGCCAGATTTCCCGGGGGACTCTCACTGTTAGTATCGGTCCATGCACCTCCCAGCATTCCTGGCTTTACAGTTGAGGCTTACAGGCAGGGGGGCTAGCTCGCACAGGGCTCTAATTCCCGATACCACACAAAGTGGTCCCCGACAGTTAGATATTAATGAAATAACCAAAATTGGCCTCCCCTATCCTTTCCTTAAGACCTGAGTTCTTCCATGGGTACTCTTCTGGATTCTTAAATTGATATAAAATTTCTGGGAGTTATTTCACAGTGAATTTTGAAAGATCATAATTATTCTTATATTATCCTGTCACACAAACAGAAAGAAGTGCAAAAGAAAGCAAAGAGCTAGTTACAAGATTGCTAATTCTGGCATTATTCCTAGTAGTAAAAAATTGGAATGAACAGAAATGTCTAATTGTACAGAATTAGTTATGTAAATAGTGCTATATTTATTCAGTAAAGCAAATTCAATCATTGAACATTAAATATAGCTCTATATTTGCCTAAATGGAGAGATAGTTATTACATATAGTTAAGTGAAGCTAAGCAGAATATCTAGTAGAATGTATCATATTATCCACTTACTTTAAATATTTATATATGCATATGTGCATATTCATATTGCATGTGAAAAAATTGAAAGTTATATACAGTAGCATGTTGGGTTATCTCTATGTTAGCTTTTAGATATTAATATTTTGTTCTTTTTTGATTATTTGTATTTTCAATTTTTTTATAGTCACATTTTAATGTACTTAAAATATTTAAAAGTGATATTTAGGAGGTAAAATCTGAAAGTGTTTAATTAGATAAGAGAATGGATAGTAGATGGTATCATCTGTCACAGGGAGCGATGCGTTGCACGGAGTGTGGGCTCCTGGATCTGAGGGTCACTGTCCGGAGCCAGCTGAGGAGGGAGTGGGACTTTGAATCCCACAGAGCCCGTCCCAGGGTTGTCACTGATTGGGGGAATAAACCCAAGTCATCGCAAACACTTCTGTTTGCCAGGAGAGGGGACATGGCTCTTCCATTTAGTGGAGAAGACCTGAACCCCATGTCCAAAGGCTTTTATTGAGAATCATTTGTGCTGGGGTATGGAGCAAAGCTCATCAATCAGTGTCAGAAGGCTTTGTTTACAGAAACCAAATAGAGATCATAGATAACAGTTGGAGGAACACAAGAAATCTGCCTCAGGTCAGGGTCTATGAATAATGTAAATCTCCTTCCCAGTATGAGCTGGTTATCATAGCTTTTGAGGGAAGAACAAAGCATGCTTTGAGGAACTTACTGCTAGGCCTGATTGTCTCCAGGAACTTTCTGATCCAGTTTAGGGCTGTACCTGCCCTTAATGTTGTTTCAAGCCTGAGCTGGGTTGGCAGGGCAGAGCCACCAAGAAAAAAAGGAGACTCCAGCCATGTCCAAGCCAAGCCAAGGGATGCGGGCCTTTTTGCCTTTTCTCTGTGTCCTCCAAGTCCTTGTCTGCTGCCCATACCAGCCAATGTCTGGCTTAGGTCGTCTCTCCTTGCGAGAGAACTTACCTATCCTCTATAACCGAGCATCACAGGGCCAAGCAGGGTGATGCGAGGGAGACAGGGGCTATGCTCCTGCCCAGGGGACAGGTTTCATCTCCTCAGTGGCATGTTTGCCCAAGGCCTCCTTGAGTATTTCCAGCCTTGGGGCCCTCTCACCTGTTGGTGGGGCTACAGTTCCTGAAACCAGATAGGACGTTCCCCAACAATCATGGGCTGGGAATATAGAAGAAACCATGGATTTCCTATGATGGTATCATCAGCTGGGGAAATAAAGTGAATGAAGTTTGGTGTTTTGTATTCGAAGTACCTCCCTGTTGAACTGTCTCCATTGCAGCAGGAGAGAGAGTGGAACCAGAGAGTGGTGATGAGGGGTTTATTCCGTTGAAGTTGTTGATTTGAATGAACTTATCCTTTGAGAGTAGATGAATAAAAGCTTTGGACAGACACTCTTTACAGAAAAATACACGCATATTCACAATGTTTTAGGTGTAGAAGTAGAACTTTCACAGGCACCCCTCCACAGAAACTTATCTTGAAAATATTATCTGGACACAATGAGCCCACCTTAAAAATTATTGTTACTTTTCATTTCTCTAATTTTATGTTGAGGGAAATTGAGGCCATTGAAATTAAATGAATTGCTTGAGATCAGTTTAATTGATTCAGACCCTATATTGAAATCCATTTCATCTGACTCAGTCAAATATTATATTATGAAATAATTACATTCTGACCTTGAGAGTATATGTTTTTTGTTTTGTTTTTTTTTAAATCTTAAAAGACAATGTAGTACTGGAAGCATAAAACTTCTGGCAACCATTGAAAAATAGCCTTTAGAGTTCCTATTTTCATTGCTGTCACCAAACGTGAAACTTCCCAGTCAGAACCAGAGGAAAACTAAGAATTGTGTTTCTTGGCAGATATTTTCTCAAATGTATTTTTGTTGTTGCTATTGTTGTTTTCAGTTCTTTAAATTAATTTGCATTCATAGTCTTGCTTTGACAGGCCTTGATATTTGTTTCCAATTTATAAAACGCATACAGCATATGCTTCTACCTGGTATTATTCAGTGTGTGTTTCTGTTTTAATCCTAAAGGACTACTTTTGGTCAGACAAATCTGTTTATTTATCTGACTGACCCTAAATCCTCTCAAATGAATTGGATTTTTAAACTTCTATCTGATTGAAAGGAAACAAAAAGAGAACTTCTGCAGGTAGCATTAAAAACTGAATAGAATGGGAGACCTTGCATACTGTTTGTCCAGGCTTTTATTTTTCTTCAGTGATCAGGTATTTCAGTCTTTCATACAGGCTAGCTAACGCATTAGGATGGCCAAAAGGTCCATTTAGTTTTTCCATAAAATAAAAGACACATTTTTCATTTTCACCAATAATTTTATTGATTTGGATGTTTTGATTATGTCAGCTCTCTCTTGCTATTGGCTTCTAGTGAGTGGAGGCCAGGGGTGCTGCTAAACATCTTCCAATGCATAAGACAGCCCCACAGCAAAGAATTATTTGGCCAAAATGTCAGTAGTACAAGAAACTTCACAAATCACTTTTCACATGTTTGATCAGCCATAGCATTTTCTCATACACTGCATAAATCTTTTTTCCTTTTTTTAATTCTTGTTTATTCTATTACAGTTGTCCCAGTTTTTTCCCCTTTGTCCTCCTCTATCCAGCCCACCTCCCACTCCCACAGTCCACCCCCACACCATTGTCCGTGTCCATGGGCCATTTATACATGTTCTTTGACTGATCCCTCCCCCTTCTTTTCACCATCCTTCACCCCCTTTTCTCTGACAGCTGTCAGTCTGTTCCCTGAACTAACAAAACAGAACCAAGCACAAATCTTTTCTTGCGTTTCAGTTGCATTTTTACCTTTCTTGAAATAATAAAGCATAATATGCTGAAAATGTTGCGCATTTTCCTCCATCTTCCGATATTAAAATGGCTGCACAAAAGTTCGCCAATTTAGATGTTTTTTTAAAAGTGCAAGCTGATATGACAGCTGTCACAATACAATTTAACAAAATTGTTTTGAATGAAGTTAAAGACAGCTAAGCACTACTAGAACCATTGTACAGAAGAAATAAACAAACTTTTTGGCCAACCCAATAGAAAAACCAAGCCAAACTTTTATGTCCCATCACTTTTTTATGCACAAAGGCGATGGTAAGTTCCTTAACAACGGACAGGTAGTTGTTCATTTTCTTAATTCATTTAAGTTGTTTGAAGCTTTCATTATAATTTCCCATTCAAGCATATGGTTTGATTACTGACATTCAATGAAGAGATGCTGAGTCAAACTTTTCTTTTGCTCTTTCTGTTTTGTCCCAGGAGCAGGCTTCCTGGGTATGCCAGTGTGATGACAACATGGTTCAGAGACTAGAAACAGATTTCAAGATGACTCTTCAGCAGCAGAGCACCCTGGAGCAGTGGGCTGCGTGGCTTGACAACGTGATGATGCAAGCCCTGAAGCCCTATGAAGGAAGACCCAGTTTTCCTAAAGCTGCCAGGCAGTTTCTGCTAAAATGGTCTTTCTACAGGTATCATCTCAGTTTTTACTAAGCTTTATTTTCATAGTCTGCAAATATGTGTGTATGTACATGCTTCTCAGACAAAAGAAAATAAATGAGTGAAGACTTCAGTTTGCAGAAACTTCCTGCTGTGGTTATCTTCACCCTGTGTCATTGATTACAACATTATGGAACTGTACCAGGAAACTCATGAAAATCAGCCATCTGCTAGGAAGAGAAAGTCTCTTTCTCAAAGCCCTAGCGTTCTCTGATGGGAACATCTAAGATTCCAGTCTAGATAACATGTTCAGCAACAGTCAGAAAAGGGCCACAGCCCTCCCGCCGGCAAACATACATTATTTAGGCTTTCTTGAGGTCTTAGCACCATTCTTCTTCTTATTCTATGGTTCAGTGATTCTCAGAGACCAGTAGCATCACTGTCACTCAGAAACATGTTAGAAATACAAATTCTCAGGTCCCTCCGCCAAATCTACTTAAATCAGAAACTGCAAAAGTGAAGCCCCACGAAGTGTCTGTTTTAAAATGTCATTCAGATGTTTCTAGTAAATTTATTAATTTGGTCGATTACAACTGTTTCAAACCTAGCTGCACATCAGAATTAATGAAAAAAAAAAAAATCCTAGGTATCTCCCAAAACCTACTGGATCAAAATCTTGATGGTTAGGGAGTAATGATTAGGAATAAATCAGACATTCTTTCTTCAGAAAACTTATTTGGGCTGATTCTAATGCAAAGCTATTTTAATATCCAGTAATCTAACAGATAGTATAAAATGAGCCACTTCTTGACTAAAATAATATAGATAGAAATGTAATTTTTGCAGACATAGAAGACCCCTGGAAGAGAAAGGCCTTCAGATTACTTGGACACAGAGAGCTTTTAATTATGATAGTAGTCACTTTGGTTTTTATTGTGGCTTCTTTCTTTCTTAACTGATTTGGTCCAATTCTTTTTTCTTAAACTGAAGTAGAGCTGCAGATCTATATATGTTTAATTAACAGTTAAATTATCCTTACCTCCTGAACATTGTTTTCTAGTGTCTAGAACAGGTTCACGTGCAGTAAAAGAAAGCCTGCCAGTTTTGTATTGTTGTTGTTTTGTTTTTGTTTTTGGAATGAAATAATTCCACAGTTTTGCCTCACATATATTTAGGACCTGTAGCCCACACAATCTGAGAAGCACCTTATTAAGGTGCTCTCTGACTCTGTGACCCACTGGTATGCTTCAGTAAAACCAATGCTAGGTTTAGATCTGGGTGCCAGTGAGAAATACAAATTTTCCCTCAATACTTGGGGAAGATTTAGAAGACATTGTCACAGCATTCTCAAAGTAACAGTAATAGGAGAAGTCAAAAATTTAATTTGGGAATATTAAGATTTCCTGTATTTTCCTATTTGCTTGCAAGTTGATTTTTTATTCTTCCACTTTTTTCCCCAGAAAATTATATAGATGGTATATGTGCTTCATGAGTGATTGATGAAACAGAAGTTATACTAGCTGGTTGTTGAAAAACCTAAATGGCCAAAAGCAGACTGCATTCTCTATATCAGGAAAAGCAGAGTTTTTTTCCCCCTTCTTAACTGTTCCCTTATGTTGTTATGTTAGACCTGCCCTTACTTCTTCCTGTGGGTTTTTATTTTTACTATATTTAGTTGATAACATTTTAGAAATACACCCCTGGAGCCTTTGTCTCCCCAGAGATCTGTTACAGGTATATTGAAAAGAGAAAATTACTTACTTGTATTTCTTGTTCTCGCAGATACACAAACCCAGATCCTCACTTGCCTGCCCTTTGTCCTCCCTGAGTTGAGGATAATTGGCTTGTTATTATTAGATACTATTATGGTTATTATTTTCATTTCAAAAAGACTTGAAGGCGTATAGTTCAGGACCACAGAAGGAAAGGCATATTCAGACAGATGCATACCTCCTGCTGGTAGGCAAAGTCAATAGCTTAAAAACTTAAAAGCCTTTAAAATCTGAACTGTTTTTGACTAAGGCATAAGAACATGTTGAGTAATAAAAACTACATTCACAAACTATCAGAGACACAGGATTGCAGAGTACTTTTTAAATGTTTTGGCATTGTAATAAGAATTTGGCAGTCACTTACACAGACTCTTCATTTCTGAAGTCGGTTAATCTCCTAATATCTAAAATCCTGTGTGTCTGTTTATATGCACACAAATATAGAAGTGGACTGGCAGAGAATCATATCAACTAGCAGTTGATGTATTGCTGCAAAGACCCTGTTTTCCAAATGGAGTTCTCTCCTTGCCTAACCTGGCTTTGAATGGCTACTGTTAGCTCCCAGTGAGGTAGCAAAAAAAATAATCACTGTCTTTCTTGAGCAGAAAGGGACAAGTTAGGTGGACCATTTCTCAGCTTGTGTATTTTGTGTATATAACGGAACACAGCATTACTTAGGGACACCCTGAGGGTCAACCGAATATCCCATATTTAAGGAAAAAAAATTAAGCTTTGATTGTGATTTGAAAGGGGGCACAGGGAACTTAGTTTGCATACAACTAGACAATATATAAACCTTCCAGAAAGTAATGCTCTTTTAGAATCAACTGTGAGCACTTGATTCTAAAAGAGCATTGAAAAGAGATTTCACAAGAGGGTCACAGGTATGATGTTTTACCTTTCTTCTTAGGAATAGTGTGATATATCCCCAAATACACAAGGAGGTGGGTTGAGTAATATGTGTTAAAGTAAATGTTTCAGTTTCCACACCATAAATTATAAGATAAATAAATACACAAGGGCATTTCTCATCCATTATAAAATAATTAACATTCATAACTGATTTTGAAAGGAGTTGAATTCATAGTAACTTAGCAACATGAAATTTGATGGAGTCAGTTTTGCAACATACCTTACAGAAGTCTGAATAGGACAATAGGTTTCCAATTAAACGGTTAATTGTGTCACTTAATCCTCAGCTTGTAGGGCAGGGGCCCAACACAGTTAATAAAGTAGACACGGCATGAATAATGGAATTCAGCCGATTCTTTTCTAAACACATTACCAAAATTTCGTGGCATGCGTGGTCATCAGTATTTTTTAAAGATAATTAGGTATTATAACTGAAGGGATGCAGATTTTTTTTTCATTTTCCAACAGAAGTTGGTGTTAGTGAGCGCTACTAGTGACCTCTAGACCCCATACCATATTCCTCTTCTCTTAGCTCGCTGTGCTCCAACCATACTATCCTCTCCTAGCTGTTCTTAGAACACATCAGACGTAGTTCTGCCTCAACATCTGCATTTGCTCTCCATTCCTTCCTTTAGGAAAGTTCACATATTTGCATGCTCAGTCCCTCACTTCAGTCCAGTTTCTGCTTAAATATCACCTCTTCAGAAGGAATTTTCCTGACTCCCTAGCTTAAAATGACTGCCCCATCACTCTCCAACCTCTTACCCTGATTAAATTTTTTCATAGAGTTTATCAGTATCTAATTTTATATTTTATATCTGCTTATGTTTTTATTGACTGCCTCTCCTACTAGAATATAATCTCTGTTAAAACCAAATTTTTTGTCTTGTTATAGAATAAGAGCCTGGCACAGAGAAACACAATATATATCTATTGAATGAATGAATGTGAATTCTCCTGGAAAAAAATAATTGACTTTGCACTTCTTTTAATAATATTAAAAAGCTAATCAGTATGAATATTCTCCTTAGTCATTTACATGATTTCAGGGTTATTATATTTTAAGGGAACTCTAAAGGCCTACGATGATTAAATCATTTATAATTTTACTACCCAAAAATAACACTGGTAAAATGTTTTCTTTTAGTGTTATATAAAATTGGGATCTAGTTGTTTACCACAGTGTATATAATCTGTATTTTTCCTTAATATTTTTCATTTAACATTATATCTTGAGCATTTCTTGCCACAAAATATCTTTAGAAACATAATTTTAATGTCCTCACAATATTTCCTTATGTGTATGTCTCAAAAATTATTTAAATATTCCCTTTTACCTTATTCTTGAATATTTAGATAGTTTTTGGTACAATATAGTTATAACAAATACTTTAGTAATAATATTTGTATAAAATTATGCATATATCCTCAAATAAATTCTGGTAAGATTGTTTGAGCTTTTTAAATTGACTGATACTATTTATTCAATTGTGCAGTCCCAACACTAATAAAGTAGTAAACTCTCCTATTTAGGGATGGGGTTTAAAACAACTGTATGGATAGATTTTATTGTTAACTGAGCTTTTATTTTATATTTTTCTTCTTTAACTTAACATTATATTATAGACATCTTTCCATATTACTACCTTTATGTCTACTTACCTCATTTCTTTAAACAATTACATAAAATTCCAAATATGAACAAACTATAATTTTTTACTCAGCATCCTACTAATGGGCATTTAGTTTTTCACAATAGTTTCTCACAAGTGTAAATACTGCTGCAGTTAAAACTACCTTTGCTCATTTGTATAAATTTCTAAAATTGGAATTGCTAGGTCAAAGGATTTGTACATTTTAAATTTTAACAAATATTACCAAACTCCCTCATATAAAAGTTGCTTGAAGTTACACTTGCAGAAACAGTACGTGGGTGTTCTTTTGCCATACCCTCTGCGACACCAGATCTTCTAATTTCTTACAGTAAAATAGATGTTTACTTCAATTTGAATTTCTTTTATTTTGAATAGTAGTCATTTAAAAAAATTTATTTATTGAATTTACTGGAGTGACATTAATTAATAATTTATATAGGTTTCAGTTGTACAATTTAATAATATATCATCTGTATGTTAAGAACATAATGGTGCCCTGGCTGGTGTGGCTCAGTGGATTGAATGCCAGCCTGTGAACTGAAAGGCTGCCAGTTCAATTCCCAGTTAGGATGCATGCCTGGGTCGCGGGCTAGATCCCCAGTTAGGGGTGTTATGAGAGGCAGCCAGTCACCGTATCTCTCACACATCAATATTTCTCTGCCTCTCTTTCTCCCTCCCTTCCCCTCTCTCTAAGAATTAATAAATAACATCTTTAAAAAGTAAATAACATATGTATTCATCTTATTACAAAGAGAATATAATGGCTATTTAGTTTTCCTAAGCCAAAAATCTCTAGAAATGATCACGAAATAAAAGTGTTGAAAAACACACGCCTGCACACCCAAGATACCCCATACATACTCCACTGTGATTCTAAGTGAGAAATATTAAAGAGGTTTGAAGTGCACAAAGAAGCTAATGATTGGCATACCTCAGCAAAGCCAAAATTTTATTTTGGACTCATTTACTTTTTAATTGATTTTTTTGTTAGTATTTTATTAATAATATTGTTCATATTTTTGTATTATATTTTATAAATTCAGTCTTCACATTTTCCAAACATATGCATTTCTTTATTGATTTTATTACACTTCTCATGGAAAATCACCTTAATTTAGGTGGAAATCAGTAAGAAACTGGGATCCCAATAAATTTGCCTTCTAACCCAACTTGTACAGATCCTTGTACATACTCACCTACATTGCCACATCCAGGTCATTACTTAGTGTAGTTTGTAACCTTTGTATGACACAAAAAATAGTTTTTGAAAAGTATATATCAAAGTCACTATCATGGAGAGGTGTTAACACAGTGTTTATCCATCAATAAAATTTTCACTTGGAGTAGCTTTTTCTTGTGGTGATGAGTTACCAGTCTTTAAAAAATCTTTTATATTCAGTCCTGACCCATATGGGAGTTTAATGGAGTCAGCAGTCTTGCCTATGCCAGTAAAATGTCTCTTTTACTTCCCTCTTTCAAAGAGTTGAGCCAACTGCTTTCAATAATGACATTATTTAATAATGACAACTTGCATGGCAAGTTGTGTGCCGTACCAACCTTTCAACCTCAACTTGACTTCTTTTAAGAAGAAAAGTACATTGAACTCAAATCCTGGTCACTAATATTGACTGCGTGTGTCTTTTCTCTTGGAACAGCTCAATGGTTATTCGGGACTTAACCTTACGCAGTGCTGCTAGCTTTGGCTCCTTCCACCTGATCCGTCTACTCTATGATGAGTATATGTTCTACTTAGTAGAACATCGTGTTGCTCAGGCAACAGGAGAAACACCCATAGCAGTCATGGGCGAGGTAAGAGAAGTTGAAAGAGCTTTGACCAACAAGTTTGGTTTTTTTTTAAAGAACATGAATTACATTTTAATGTAATATATTAATTATTAATTAAAACAATTGTTCCTAACCAGTAAGCTTTAGACCCTGGAGGGGCTATGGATTTATCTTAGGGGGTCCTTAAATCCCTCTGTTCATACGTATTTTCTTAATCAAAGGATTCTAAAGTTACAGATTATATCATGGGGAAGTTCATGTTTGAATATGTTATAAAAGTACTTATATAAAAGAAAAGTTTGAGAATCTCTGGACTAAGGAAAAGCTAATTGAATGGAAAATAAGATTGATGCTTCTGATAATATTAAGGGCTAAGAATACACAGGAAAAATTTAAATACATATTTTGTAGACTCTTTTTCTCAGTGTCCAAAAATCAAAATGAAGAAGGCAGTGATGGTAATGATAGCTAACATTTTTGGGCAGTTACATGCACCAGGCATGGTTCTAAGTACTTTACATATAACAGAGCATGTAGAATTTAACAACTCTTTGAGATAGGTACTCCTTTATCCTGTTTTATAGATGAGCATGTGAGATTCAAGTTGAAAGCTAAGACATAGAGCGATTAAATGGTTACATAGCTAGCAAGAGATGGAGATATGGTTTGAATACTTGGCCAGTTTTTCAAGACCATGTTTCTAATCACTAAAGATGTGGGGAAAAAATCAGAATTTTTAGGTAGTAAGCAAGATGCCTGATATTCAACAAACATCAAAAAGCTAAAACTGAAGTTAATATTAGCAAGAATTTGTTAATTTAATTAGGTTAGAGGCAAATGCTCAAATGATTCAGCACTGGTTCATTTTGTTGTATTGAATTGGGGTACTTAAGGTTTTGCTGTATTATACCAGGTTAGGCAATATTACAAACTACAGCAGTAAAGAAGACATGCATTTTTAAGCTCTGTATATGTGCTAATTAAAATTAAAAAGTGAAAATAAACATGAGATACTTTTCCTAGTTTAATAAATATGATAGTAAAGGTGTAAGTGTAAAAAATATATTAAAATACTTTAAGCCCCCTGACTAGTGTAGCTCAGTTGGTTAGGCATCATTCTGCAAGGCGAAAGGTTGCTGGTTTGATCCCCAGTCAGGCACATGCCTAGGTCGTGGGTTGGGTCCCTGTTCAGGGCACATACAAGAAGCAACCGATGTTTCTCTCTAATGTCGATGTTTCTTTCCCTTTCTTTTTCCCTTCCTTCCCCCTCTGTAAAAACAAATAAATGATTTTTTAAAAACTATAAAAATAAATAAATAAAATACCTCAAAGACCTCTCTGAGTGTTCTAATATAAAAATAAAATACATGTTAAACTTACTCAGGATATTAAGTTAAAATATTCCTCTTTCTTTTTCAAAATCTCTTGTATACTGATCCATATGTGTTTGTTTAATGTTTCTTAATGGTGGTAGTGTGAGATTAAACAAGAATCATTGTAGATTTTAGATTTTAAGCAGGACCTCACGAGACCAAAGCAGTCTGGACTTGTCTTAGACTTGACTTGCCTTTAGTGCCTCTTTCCTTAGTTCTTTTATAGATGCCTAGTTTCAAAATGCCCAGTTGGCATATAGATTAAGTACTGAAAAGTCTCTCACCCTGGTCTCAAAATTTATAAAAGAACATGCCTTTTGGTATATTTAACACATTTTGCCATTCACCTTATATGCTTCAGGACTTCATTAATGGAATGATCAGGCTAATGATAACAAGGATTCTCATTAGCACTGCGTGGCTCCTGATGCATGGTCTTTGCTTTCCTGGCGTCTCTATGGAGCAAAGGCAGTGGCCATGAGCCACAGTGTGAAGGCTTAGCAACCATCTCATGAGCTTGTTTAGGCAGTACTGGCTCACCAGAATGAAAATGAAAAAGGTATTACATAGTCAATACTGCCAACTAACTATTTTAACAGGCATTCCTTTTTTTTTTTTTACTATGTATAAATAGTAACTATAAATATGACAGATTGTGAAATGAAGCAAAAATATAATATGAATAAAAGCTAGATCATAAAATAAGGTATGAAATACTTTCTGTAAGATCAAAGAGCTAAGCACACTTCTCATTTTATTTGCTTACTATTTGCCCCCTTACCCAATTTATAGGAAAATCCTTTGGTCTGTCTATGCTCATCCATTATTTAGCCCAGGCCAATTAAAGTTAATTTTATAGGTTTGATCTCCCCCATACAACACTGATGCCTCAAACACCTGTTAGCCACGCTAGACCAGGTGGCCGTGGTCATGTTATCATATCTAAACTTTCTTTATTCTTGGGAAAATAAGAAGGAAATTCAAGAAATAGGAATGCTTTTTATTCATGTGTCACTCACATGTTATATTAAGTCTACCCTAGAAATCTGATTGAAGGGAAAGACTTTTTCATGTTTAGACTCAGTTGCATTCTTAGCTCCTTAGGTGATTTTCCTTTCCAAACACCAAGTCTAGATGTACCTATGCTTAGTTAGAGTGGAGCAACACCTAAAAATCACCATACCCTTAATCCCAGCAGGTGGTTTTCAATGATCAGTAAAGACAACCACAGAAACAGCAGTTGTCACTATTTATGAGAACTGTTTTACACTTAATAAAATTAAACTCTTAATCTATCTGCTCATGGCCCTTTCTCTATAAACAGTACTCTACAGTCCTCTCTGGAGATCATACTGGATACCGGCATGTCAATCTTTTATATTTCTTTCTATCTGGACCCCCACATCCAACCAATTAACTAAGTCTTCTCCTTACCCCCCCACCCACACTGAGCAGTCAGTATCATCTTATGTAATGCACAAAGCTGATTGTGTTACCCCCGCTGAAACCCTTCAGTGTCTTTTTCTTCTCTTGGTGCAGAAGTTCTGGCCCAACCTCTTTGATTAAACCTCAGCCTCCTTCCTACTCCTTTTGCATTCACAGTGGTCTTTTTTCTGTTCTTATTCCTCAAGCTTTTCTCATCACTGGACCACTGTGTAGATGGTTCTTTCTATCTGGAACTCTGTGCCTAACCCTTCCTTCCCCCCAACCTTAACTCCTGCTTCATATCTTAAATATCAGTTGCTTAGGAAGGTCTAGTTCCTCCAGACTACCTTAGATCTATACTTTCTGGTTTCTACTTTTATTCTAGAACCTACAGAATAGGAAGTGCATGGTTCTTCGTATGATTTATGTAATTGAAGATTTAATGCCTAGAAATAATGGAGGACTTTTGAGTCAGAAGAACTGAATTCTGCTTATAGTTCTGTCATTTATAGTGGCTGTAGGCTTGGGCAAATCATGTTACTTATATCGAATCTCAGGGCTTATCTCTGAATATAATTTATTCATTTCTTTAACAAATACTTCTTACCTACTCTAGGCTAAACACTATAATAATTAGGATATAATGATGAACAAAATGGATTTGGACCCTGCATTAAAGGAGCTTACGTTTAGTAGAAGATACATATTTATATTTATTAAATATTCACATAACTACAAAGCTATAAAGTCTGGCGAGTACTCTTAAGGAAAATTAAAGGGATATAGGAATATTTAAATCATGAGGCACTAAATATCTAGCCCGGGATAGACAGGGAAGGCTTCCCCCAAAACACAATTATTTAAAGTGAGACCTAAAAAACAAAAGGAGTTAGCTATGTAAAGTCAGTGAGAGTTTGGAGGTAAGGGCTAAAGACTACTGCAGGCACAAGGAAGAGAGTGCACAGGTCCTGCCTGAGTTGGAAGGGAGCATGGCCATGGGACATTTTCATGGGAAATCTCAGGTTCAAGCACCAGAGAAACCAAATATACCTCATCAAAATCAGCACACGAATGGCAGAATTAGGTTAGGATGGCAAACCAAAAGTTAGGTGCCAGGCACTCTTCTAAGTGCTTTATATACATTAACTTAGCAACTCACAACAACAACCATATGAGCGAGTATCATTACCTATATATACAATACATAACCATACAGTATATTACCTTCACATTCACTGCAACACCGCCACTCCACAACTTTTGAAGTGAGGATGACTAGATAATGGAGCCCCAAATGAAGCAGCATCACAGCTCCAAGTGCTACCGTTAGTGTCAGTGGGCTACTGTGTGAATGCTGACGCGGAAGGTATTTAAAGCCTTTGCCATTCCAGACTTTCATTATTATTAGTTTTGCCTAGAATATTAAAAGGGAACAATTTATTTGCTGCTAAAATTTATGTAAGTTTTTTAATTACTTAAATACTATAAATGTGCCCACAGGCTGTGTGGCAGTGGTGAAATGTTAAGAGTAGGAACAAATAAACAAGTTGCATCTCTATTTAATAAAATAATAAGACTTTCTGTGCAGCTCTGACAAGAGCAATTGAGCAGAAAAAATACTCTTTTACTTGAATTTGATGACTGTTTAGAAGCTTATGGCACGTATGCTTTATTTTTTAAAAATATACATAGTCCATTAATATATTTACCAAGTCTATAAATTTTGATTGCTTCATAAAAGGATTCTCTGACAAAATTTTTATATTTAATCTATTTTATTTACATTCTCTTTATCATGATTATACTTATTTAATATTCTATCTAAGCCACCTGTATAACCAACCTTGTGAAATAAAAAAGTAGGAACCAAAAGATGGTTTTAATTATGAATACAAATATAAAAAGATAATATTTTAGTAATATTTTTAGGGAAAGATTTGAAGAGCCCTTAAGGACTTACCATCAAAAGGAAACAGTCATCCAAAAAGAGGTACTCAAAGTAGAAGGGGAAAAATTCTTCAAAACCTCAACATTGAAGAAGAGCAGTTATAATTCAACAGTTCATCTTTTAGGGTAGAATTTGAGTGAAAAAAGTCCAATTTGATAGATATACAATTGTGGTAAATAAGCATGGATACTTAAAGTAAAACCAAACTAGTAAAAATTAATTTTAGTGCAATTAGGAAATACACAGATAATGTACCTGTGGAACAGTAGACTTGTTAT